ACTCGTCGTATGATAGAAGGCTCGTGAGTGAAAAGAAATATTTGGATAGATGTTCGTTTGTTTTTGTTTTTAGAATGTATTGAAGAAGTTCAACGACAACGTGATAAACATCAACGAGAAGAATCAGCACGAATATTTTTATTAAATGAAGATCCATCAATACCAATGAATTTAACAAATACACTTAAAAAATTAAATATTAATAAACAACCGATTATTTATTATATAGGTGGAATTGATCTTCTATGTCAATTAATAAAAGATGGTTTTGTTTAAATGAAATCAACGTTTTGTTTTTGTTTTTTGAAATAGAAATTTTTTTGTTTTAGAAACAACTCGAACAGCATTTCGTGTGAATAATGGTTTTAATTTATTTAATTCTCATTCAATTATAATAGAAAATAGTAATGAAAATTTATCGGAATCAATTTTTAATCTAATGATTATTCTTTGTCAAGATGATGGTATGAAAAAAAAACTTTGTTGTTTTGTTTAAGTAAAATTTTTTGTTTTCTTTAGATGAAAATACTAAACAATGTTTAGAAAGTAAATTTTTCAATAATTATTTAACAAATAATATTTATTCGTCGAATGCATTTCGATTTCTTGTTGAAATTTCATTAAAAACTCAATCACGATTAATTTTCATGCAAAAAATTATACCAAATAGTTTTATTCAACATTTAATAAATATAATTAATGATAAAAAATCCAATCGAATATATGCTGCAAAATTATTAAGTAATTTAGCAATTGAATCAAAGTCAGAATTTAAAAAAGATTTTTTTATTTTTAAGTTTTAATTCAAAAAATTCTTATTTTTTAGGATTAAACAGTATTTTAACGATAAGGACGAATTGATAAAATTAATTGTTATTCTAGTAAGAAATGATTCATTGTTTATCTTTTGTGGAGCTCACATATATTTCCGAAGAAAATAGTAACTACCCTCTCTAATCCCTAGCAATAAGATTTACGAGCGATATCCCTCAACTGATTGTTCCCTTCTGCGAGTCAAGATTATGTGCTTCATGTAGACATTAATGAGCTATGAGTACTTTGAATAGTGTTCGAGCTTATTGCTGCCGAGATATTACTTTTTTACGGTAATTCTTTTAGTTCATGCCGTAGTTTTCCTCAAGCACACTAGGAAAATTCATTTTCGACTTGGAAATTTCCGTAGACAGGATTTGTACATCACAGTTTATTGTGAAAGTTTCAGATATTTTTGTTGTTCTTATCCTAGGATAACACTTATGGTAAAACTTTATCGTTGACATTGCTCATATACATCGGCAGATTCGATATTCTTATTTCAGGATAGATGTAAATTAGAAGACTTGAAGCTTTTCCAATAAACCATATTCGTTTCATTGAAATACTTGGAATACGTTTGCAAGTATTCTAAATAATGCAGTTTTTTATTTTTTGCACGGATATAAATCTATAGTGAAAATGTCAAGGATGATAGGCAATGATACATTTGTTTGTCATAGTCGTTATATGATCGACACAAAAGTTGCCCTTGAAATTAATCGTTTGAATAATAATAATAATAATATTAAATTTAAGAGGCAAAAAGTAGTTTTTTATTTCTGTTCGAAATACAAAATAATACTACAGACTTTTCACTCAGCGTATTTTGTATTCCTATAATGAGGCTAAAGAACATATGTAAGTTCCACATTTTAGCTCCAAGGAAACAGGGCTCACAAGTTGTTTGTATGATCATTTTTTTTAATATAGAAATCATCGTCAATTGATGAAGAAACTCGAACTGTAATATTATCTTTATTAACAAATCTTTGTTCAGAAAAACATATTCGATTTTGTGCTGTTAATCAAACAGAACTTTTCCAGATATTAATTGAAGATGTGGGACACTATGAAAATGAATATGAATTAAATTTATTGGGATTACTGATTAATCTAACAAATGAAGAAAGTTCAAGTCTTGAAGGATCATATAAAAATGTATTGTTGAAATTAGAAATAATTTTTTTTTCACTTGAACAGTTCCTGTTCTTCTTAGTTATGTGAAAAAATTCTAACAAAATTAAAGAATTCTCCACATCATCAACGTATATTTACATTATTGGGAAATATTGCAATGCATTATCAACAAGCTATTGATATTCTTATGGAATATAAAATTATTTCTTGGATTAGTCAAACATTACAACAGGTTTAGTTATATTTAATTAATCAAATAGTGTATTGTTGAATGTAGTCTATTTTTTTAGAATGCTAATGAAGAAAAGATTCGAGCTGCTGTTAGACTTTTAGCATTATGTACACAATCAAATACACAAGGACAACAAGCTGTTGCTAATGATATTAAACGTAAGATTTTTTGTTAAAAAAAGAAACAAATATTTTTAGAAGACATTAAGTATTTTAGATGTTTATTGATTGATTAGTTCCATCGATCCTATGAATTTAGCCTATCTTATAGAAATACTTAAAATAAACATTCTTTAATGTTTTTTTCTGACAGACATTTTCTCATCAATACGATCTCAAATAAGGAAAAATTTACTTTTGGTTAAATTATAAATCACATGTATATTTTCGTCACAAAGACTAATCAAATACATAATCCTTTACTTCTTTTGAATTTCATTCAGCACGTAAGATGACAGAACAAATAATTCTCTAGAAAATGAGTTGTCTCCGAGTTCGCTACCATATACTTCCCAAGTCATTACAATTGCACTGGTTTTGTTTTTCTGATAGTATTGATAAAAAAGTCGAATTATGGAATTTTTTCCCATAGGTAGTTGGTCTTATGGACATTAGAGAAGCCCTGAAATTTCTGCCTAAAAGATTGTGTTGTTCTTGAGATATCGAATATTGAAAATGCTGGGTCTTCTCACCTTTGCTTGTCACACTTAATTGATCTACCTATGGGCAACTATTCCATAATTAGAGTTTTTCGTCAATACTCTATAAGAAATAAAAAATTTGCTGAATATGTAATGACATGGGAAAGGACAGTGTGTGCGTGCGTATCCTTCTAGGCTTTTACTAGTCACACTTGTGGACCGTCCCTTGTCAGATACAAAAATCGTGTTTTACATTTTCCATCAATTTTCTATATCTCAGCTAAAGAATGTGGTAGGGAACTCAGAAACAACTAATCTTACAGAGAAATGTTTATTCTGTTGTTTCATGTTGAAAACCTTTATTTTATTGTTTTCTCTTCTTGAAATACTATTCAGATTTTTGTTTTACTGGCTAAGACAGCAAATAAAAAAATAAGTTGAATTGTAAATAATAACTTGTATTGAATTATATGTAGAAGTTTTTTTATTTATTCTTTTAGTTTTATCTCTTATCTATGAACAATTAATAAAAAGTCAAAATTCTTTGCTTATTGGTAATGGTTCATTAGTATTTGGACATATTATTATTCATCCATCAGCACGTACATTCTTACGAAATAATTCCGGAATAGAAAAAACTGTTGGTCAAATGCTAAAATTAGTTGAAGAATCATGGTTAAGTAAAGCAGCAAGAAAAAATGTAGCTATTTTTATTACTAAAATGGTTAAAGCTGATGAAAGGTATAGATTTAAAAATATAAAATTCAATAATTATTAATATTGAATCAATTTTTGTTTTTGTTTAGCTTTTTACAGGAATTCAGAAAACAACATGGTACTGAAATTCTTCATTCAGCTCTTAAAGATGTTGAATTATAATGAAAAATCTGTTATTAAAAAACTTTTAATAAAACAGAATAAACATTGTTTTAGTTTATAATTATATTGGTTTCATTAAAAAAAATTTTGAAGAAGTATTGCTTGATATATTAATAGAAAAGAAATCTCAAAGTTTTCAACATTATATTTCAACTTTTGTTTCTCATTTGTTTTTTTTTTTATTGAAAAATGCACATTGCAATTTTGTAAAGATATATCTTTGTAAGATCTTTTTAGTCTAATAACAACAGAAGTAATAATTTCACTTTCTACATATCACCTAAAACATGTATACGAATATATTGAATACCTAATATTTACTGTTGTGATGTTATTTCTCATTAGTGGTTAATATTTCACTTGAATTCAATAAATAAAGTGTACGATATGTTTACGACGTATAATTTAAACCACTTTGAAACAAATAATACAATCCAGACAACATCGGTTAATAATTCTGAACTCCAAAAACAAGTAAAGTTCGTCGAACGATGTATGAAATTCATCCTATTCGGTATCAAAACTTCAGAAAGTGTTGGAATTTGAAGGCAGGATTTTGACATTGGTCTGATATTTTTAGACCTAAAATACTACGTTCAAGTTTCATGGATTTTCGATGTTTTTCTATTAGAATCGGAGCATTTATTTGCATCTGCGAAGATATTTCGCATTTTTTCTAAGTAAAAGTAATATCAGATATTTTTAAAATCAATTCTAAGACTCATGAGACATACTATTTCTTATTTCAAATATTTAAGTGTTCCCTCACTCCTAGAAACTAGATAAGATCTAGTCTATCTTGTAGAGAACTTTTTGTTGATTATCAATATTATTATCTTAATTACTATCGTTCGAATTTTAAAAAAAATCGGAGGAGCATATAATTTAATTCTTCTGTTCAGTGGGCATTTTCATGAGAAAATCGAGTATCGCAAAATATCATATTTTGCAGAGAATTCTTTTCAATAATTTCTGTAAAAATAATTTTACGAGTTTGTTCAAATATAACAACGATAAGACACAAGTATAGAAATTGGTCAAAAATGTACTCACTTTTCAGTATTAGTATTTTATATCTGTTTATTTTTCAATTAAATCGATAAATCATTTTTACATAAATGATTAGGAAAGAATTTACTGCAATATAGGCTAGATCTCAGTTAGATTTTTAAGTGAAACACTTAAATATACTCCCTCGTAAGTCTAGAAATCAAAATTTTACAAATCATATTCTGTTCGTTAATTTTTATTTCGAAATAACAAAAACAGTTATTGATTTCTTTTTATTATGTAATATCATTTTTTCTTATTTGTATTATCATTTGATGACCATTGATTAATCCAATTTGTTAAATTTTCAATATTTTTTTTGAAATCTTCTTCAGTTTCATTTGTTATTTCATGAACAATATTTTCATCAAATGATTCTCGTGCTTCATCGAGACATACTTGAAAAATTTCTGATTGAATATTTTGTTCAACTTTTTTCTCAGAATAATTTCGTTGTTTTAATCGATTATATAATTTATCGTTACTACAACGAACAACAAATACACCATGAATATGATCACTATCGGGTACAATTCCTGCACTATGATAATCAATAATTAAACCAGATGGTGGAGATGATTTTTGAAAATATTCATCATCAAGATAATCATGTACAGCATCATCATCTAATATTTGACATTCATTTTCTTCATCATATTCAAGAAGAAATTTTTCTTTTTTAGCTAAATCATTAACATTAATATATGTTAATGATTTATTTGCTGAACATAATTCTTGGCAAAGACGAGATTTACCAACACCTAGAAAAGGAAAGTTATTATAATTAAAAATGATATGAGACGTTTAAGATAATATACCTGGTGTACCACAGATGACAATATTTGGAAGTTGTTTTGTTGAACTCATCTGTAAGAAATACAAAAAAATTAGATATTCTCTTTTTTTTATTAAAACATATTGAATAACTAACGAAAGTTTATATATATATATATTCATCATGTCACCAATTGCAATGAGAAAGCAAAGATGGCGTTTGTAATCGTTTTAACATACATTTCAGTTGTTTCGACTTTGTCCGTACGAAAGTCAAACTAATAATGGCAATTAGCTAATAGAACACAATAATTCAAGAATTGAAAATTTAATAAGTTCTAGTCTTTCGATTCATATGCATAATGTATTGGGAAAGCTTTCGTGGAGACATCTAGCTATATCAGAGTCGATTTAAGAAATTTATCAGGTTTAAGTATAAAAGGCTAGATAAATCAGTTTGATTTAATTAAGAATTCTTGATTGATTGCTCGAAAACTTTACATTTGGAAAATATCTAAATAGAAAAAAATTTTCTTTGAAAACTGACATCACTCACTACTTTGTATCGCAATGATCTAAAGATCGAAGAATCGTCTGATTCGTTCAAATGTTGTTACAAAGTCCCATGTTTTTATCTGATCATCTTTTTTCCCGAAACTTTGATACGAAGTTTCGTTCATTTTCAACTTGCTTCACAAAATGCGATTTTGAAGCGAGAATTCTTTTTTTGTTTTCGAGACAACGAAAACGAATTTTAGCGGGAACAATGATTAGATCAAATGTTGTTGCTAATACCCACACCCATCCCAAATAACATTAAATTACTGCTGGACATCACTTTCTTTCATTGAAACGGTCCAAACAAACGTTGTTGGCTGATAAGTCATGTTTTTGTATCTTTTTCTGTTTTGTTTTTTGTCGTTCTATTCAGTTTTCTGTGTATACGATGTAAAGATGTGAGCTTGAGTGTCGACGTGGATAAGTTTGTTTATGAGCCATCAGTTTACTCACATCCAACACTTATATACACACCCTAAACGGTAAGATTTCAAGATGCGGAAATTGATTTCAAAAAAATATTTTCCAAGTTTATCATTACTTGCGGCAAAGGGTATGAAAGTTAAAAAAATGATTCTCTAATCAATACTGATTTTTTTTCACTTTTCTTTTCTGTCATTTTTCTCTCGAGTTAAAATGGTAAAGCACCACATCATAGTTGATACTATATATGTATGTATATTCTTAATTCGTGAATTTTTATCATTCTTCAACAAATTCACAATTAATAACCACGTACCTATCAACTACTCAATTTGCTTTTGTGCTTAATACTTTCGAGGTTTTCATTTTTAGATTCTAACTTTTCGTAATTTTGCATATTCGAGATTCTTTTTTTCTGGGCTTTTGAACTTTATTGTCTTTGATCTTTTTCCTTTCGGGCAATTAAAGCTAATTCAAAAAAAAACTTATGCTTAAAAACAAAATAAATCGATTAGAGATCGATAATGATAAGCAAATCATAACGAAAAATTAAGAATATTATTTAGATGTTTTGATATAAAGAAGAAATAAAAAATGTGATTTCTAGTAAATGAACATGAAGAAAATTCCTCATTAAAACTTACTAATAATGAGAAAAGAACACCGAGTCATCAGTCTACCAATTAGGGATGTGACAGCTTCATATCGATTAACTGAGTTGGTATCAACCACGCCAATCTTTTCAAATGAGCTGGAATTTTTTAAAAACCTGATTTCATCTATTCCAATATATTTGTCACAGCTTCATATAAGTTTGTATGTATAACTCAGCTTACGTGATCTAAAATTGAGCTCTCAAAAACCAGTTAGATAGGATAATAGGGATATTCAAGATGCCAGTTCCTATTAAAAAAGAACCTGTCAATCAGATCTGCTCATATAAAAAAGAGGTGATGGTTACTTGCTTGATTCAACCCGTTCGAATCATTGAGCGAAGGTCTATTACATACCCACGATGAATACAATTTTTCTCGTGACAATTATCTCTTTGAAATCTGCTCAAAGATTCACTTTTAGATCATATGTATTTTCTTATTCTTTGAAAAGTTTTTCTCATTAAAGCGTTCCTTTATTTAGAGAAACTTATTTCTCTGAAATGAAAGAAACAGTGACATGAGTCTTGATAAGATTTTCGTTGATATCACTTTTTGTCTTGTAATTGTAAATATAATTTCGAGTATTTTCTTAATTGAATGTGCTCGTAAAAAGTATAGAACAAGTTTTTCCATCATTCAAAATTATTTAATCATTTTTCAGGAAATCAATGTCAATGTTGTAAGTCATATCTATGCCCATGTGATAAACACAAACCGGTGAAGACGGTGTAATGCTCTTTATTCCATCAAAAGTAAAATTAATTTATAATTCTTATTTTTTATAAATAAATAATTTTTATTCAATAGGCTTTATATGTGCATGATATGTTAATAGAACAAGGTAAAGATATACGAAATTATTAATGTTAGATAAGATTAATTGATTTAATTAATTCTACATTTGTATTAATTTGGATATTTTGCTCTCAAAGAACTCTTTGAATAGAATGTGTGTATCCATCTTGGGGACATAATATCGATAAAAAACACAACACCATTTCAATTAAATTAAGAGTATCATGTTTTATTTAATGCAGAAAAAAAATCGAATTTTATCAGCTCATTCTGCCTTGATCGAAAGCCTATTGGTTCGCTTTTTGTGTACGATAAAAGAATGTCGACATCCAGTTTGAATATGCTCGCATGTAAGTATATCGGTGTATATTTTCTTGGGATAGAGACAGATACTGCAAAGGAAGAAAAAAGACGTACAGGAAAATAAAATGGCGAAAAAAAATGAACACGTGCGATGATGAGTAAATCCTTACCGAAAGCAACTACCTGTCTCATGCAAATGTCATGCTCTATTGATGCACATAACAAAACAGAAGTTGGAAAAAACCGAGCAATTTTGTTATTGATAAATACGCGACAAACCTAACGACAAACACACATAAAACATAATTCATACATCTCAGCACCATTTGAGGTATGTGAATATACTATATTTACAATTTATTTGAAAGATGTTCTATGAGATAACCAATCAGTTTTTAACAGTGAAATACTTAGTAACAATTCATTCCCCCCCCCTCTTTTATTATTGTACTGTAAATGTTTAAATGAATTCTATTTTCTTGAGAATCAAGTTAGCAAAAGATCAAAGATTTTCAAATTATTATTGATGGTCAAACGATTTTATAATTTTCAGAAAATATTTGACACTCTCCGAACATAGAATTTCAACTCGATTTGTTTTCAAATATTTTCGAACGAATTGAGAAATCGGCAACAATTTTTAGTGATGCTTGAAAATTAATTTCAATTTCATAGAAAATCAATCTAAACTCTATAAAAAGAATGAAAATCAATAATAGTTTTTGGAATATAATTTAAACAAGGACGACTATAGAATAATTGCTTAGTCACGTATATAAGTCAGTCGATGATGTCGAGGATTTATTTTTCTCCAGAAGCTGCATTTATTATGTGAGCTACATAAAGTGCCGCTAATGCATACTCGTCCATCGTATAATTATAAAAACATACAATAAATTATTTCTTATTGCTGATGAGAGATAGTAAACATAAGTTTTTTTTCTGAAAACATTTGCGATAATTCTCATTGTTTTCTTTTTGAAGTATACCCTGTTCCTCATATGTTGTTCCTTGCATTTTCATTGTTCACTTAAAGACATCGTTCTCAAAGCAAAAGTATTCATTTCAAATAATTATATTTCCACTACAATTTCTACATATTTAATAGGGTACCGTAAGGGCAATTCGTCAGTAGTTATGATGTTACTTTTGTATAAAAACTAAATGCTCTTTTCATTGTATTTAAGTAAACGAGAATCTTTGTAAGAAAAGTATATTTTCTTTTCGATATTGTTAAATTATAATATCTTAAGTAATGTTTAATTTTTTCTTGGTTGCATATATGCTGTTGGAATATAAGCAGACTTAAGGTTATTAATAAAACCGGTGTATAGACGAAAGAACAATTTATTGTAAAAATGGAAAGCGATAATAGATATTCTGTTTTCTGGAAAATGTTCAGAATGCCTAATCAATTTTGATATTCTAGAAATACTCATATAAATACGATTGTGATTTTCTAACTCGAAAATTGAAAGTTGAATAGGGCACTCTTTTGAACATCGTATTTGCAAGAAAATCGAAATTCATTGTCGGATTCGTATGGGTATTCCTACAATGTCATTATTTTTTTTTCTCTATAACTTATATTCTATTTTACAGTGTTGAAATAAAAACCAGCGTTCAGAAATTTATACATTTTAATTTTTAGTTGATTCACTCGTAACTCTCAAGTTATCTCGAACGAACTAAAGATAAGTTTTTTTCAGAGAAGCATTACATTTTCATTTTTTTTGTAATAGTTTTGAAAATGTTTGATGACATTTCCTTGAACCGATCTCGACGCACAAGGTCGGGAAATATCTTAAAAGATATAGCAAGGCTTCTTCGAAGACCTTTATTCTAAAGTACAAGAACTAAAGTAGTGACCATAACAGGATTGCTTCCTTTAACAATACAGTCTTGAATTTTTGTTTGTATGCTATTTTTCATATCGAAATTCTAATTATCGAAAATAGTCTCAATGGGCCTAAATAAAACAAACAAATGGCTCCAATTAGTACATTATATCTGATATTGCACTGTGAACACGTACGGCTGTGCTCTCCCAACATGAGGCCGTAATCGTGAATAATGAATTTGCATTCATTTTCTTATCAGTTTCTCATATTTCTTTAGTTTATTATCTATTCTCACTCATACTGAAGAAATAATACAAGATTCATATTCAGCTTAGAAAACTGCGTCAAAAACATGAGCTCGATACTTTACCCAATAAATAGCACAAGATCTAATAGGCCACCATACTCTCAACGCATTTGTTTAGCAGATCTATCATATCGTTCATGTATCTGAAAATCCATTTCGTCCGTCTTGTGTCATATAAATAGACCATTCTGTTGAGCTTTTAAAGTTTTA